AATTACAGTTTTCCGCAATTCTATGCGAACCAATAAATCTGTCTCTCATAGCTACGTGACTGACGTGAAGTTAGCAGAAAACTTTGAAGTCCACAATAACAGTGCTATCCTCTGGATGTACCAGAAACCAACGAGCACATCTTTCTAGACTGCTTAAAAAACAAATAAAAATTGATAACATAAGTAATTAATTATAGTTTTATACAAATGTGTGGTTTGAGAGAACTCATTATATAAACCAACAAATCTATCACTACAAGAAGAGAATAGACATTATAAAAAAATTCTCAATTGTCTTTAACCAATATAAAAACAAGTTTGTGTGTGTCACATATACATATCACCAAAAAAGACAATAAAAAAAACCTTAAAAACTGTAGCACCAAAAAAAGAGAGGAACTTGATTTCCTTGATTAGGATTTCACATGTGACACAAACAAATAGCAACATACAAGTCATCGAAAAAAACCCATAAGATTAAACGTCTCCTCATAGACCTCAAAAACCCACAAAAAAAGGAAATGCAAAAAAACATATAAATTGCGTAAAAAGCCAAAAAAGTAAATATCAAATGCATAAGGAACAGAAATAAGTATGAACTGTATAAAATATTGATACAATAAACAGTAAATGTTTTCAACAACTATTACAATTAATAATATGATAAAAAATAATATTCCATCCAATCACTCTCCAAATATCGCATATGTAATTTGTTCCCTCAAATTTGTCATCTCGCTTATAACTTCCCCATCTTTAATGCAGGTCTTAAAAACATCATTTTTGTCCTGTGACAAAGATTGTCTAAGACGATATTCATACGCCTCGGTAGAGACATGTTCATGATCCTCATCCGATCGACGGAAGTTGATGTCCCTACGGAGAGGATGCCGCCAAATATAATTGTGGAGATTCATTGTGGCAATCCCAATATGCACCTAAACAGGTAAAATGACATATCGCGAAGTATAACCCATTTCATCTTCCATGCATCAAAAGTCCTCTCAATAGCACCGCGTAAAATGAATGTGTGCCACATTATTGGCTTGCTCAAAATCATGAATATAGTATCTCGTATCAGGATAAAGCCTAAGATACCCTCCCTACAACGGATACCCAACATCGACCAAATAGTATTTATCTGATGTGAATTGAAAAAAAAGTGTTGAAGGAAAAAAGAATTAGGAGAGTTACTTAGTCTCAACCGAACATGTGGATAGATGTGAGAAGTTTTATTTGTTATTCTGTATTGTAAATTTGAATATTCGACTATCATGTTGAAGTCGCACACCGTCATGACATTCTGCTTTAGGGACCCACAATGGCTAATGAATATGATCTTCTTTTTATTTGGAACACGTGCATCAACGTGCGTTCCATCAATTGCTCCAACACAATTTTAGAAAGATAATGAAGGGTTACGTAATTGAAATATTTATATGAATATTGCATGTAATAAATAGGTAAAATTATCTTAAAGTATAGCATATCCCGCGCATAATGCGAAATCACTGTTAGGGTATGTTTGAATGTAAGATATGTTGACTTTATGACTTGTGAACAAAAAGTGACAAGTGTATTCAACCCTACTAAGAAGTAGCTGCAAATCATTTCAGAAGAGTGCTGAAATTGCTCTACAGATCCTCGCATTGATTCATTTCATGACAATATGTAGAGGGTTATTGCTAACACTTCTTGTGAAGTTGTTCTAGATGAGCCATGAAGTTCATAATTTCCGTATAGTTCCTCCAACAGATAGATGAATACTATCTGTGTCATGCGAAATATATTATTAAATCTCGTTCAGTGGCCCGCAAGCAACTCCCCAACCCATTTATCGCTAACATATGAGGATGTTATGCGAGGGGAGCGATCTATGTACGAGTTATAATATTCGTACATCAAACATACTGATGTTGCAACTCACCTTCTGCATCCTTCTCTAGTTGCATCCATACATTTTGGTATTGGAGTGGCTAACACATAAGCATCAATGAATTAGTACAATCATATAAGATTACGAGCAAAACCGACATAAGTAAAAAACATTACATGAGTAACTAGAAAACATGATGAGGAATGAGAAACTCTCAAATAAAATGGCATGCCCAAAGTATCATGAAAAACCATTAGCAAATAGAAATGTCTCACAAAAATCTAATAAAAAAGTGTCCCTCAAATGTCATTGCTCGCACAAAAATAACATGGGTAAGCCACCTTACGGTCAACAGACATCATTATAAAAACTCTCTCCGGGTCGAATATTCAAACAACTTCATAGAGAACAAATACAACGACATCATCATAAATTTCTGGAGTTGCATAAAAAATTTGCATAACCTGCTAGACAGAAGTTGCTTGTGATGGGCTAGGATCATTGGTGCATAAAACTACCACCTGTGAAATCTGGCTTCTAAGGAAAACAACTCCTTTTTTTTCAATCCGAGGACACTTTGACCGGCTCGTGGACTCAACTTGATGGAGATCCAGGCTGGGGTCTTCATTGGAATCACCTGTTTGATCAGCTCCCAAATTTTTGGATATGCTACGAAACCACGCCTCACTGGGGCATATGTACTGTTGCTTGTTGTCACAACACCTTGAAACATACGATTCAACTTTTCCAGCTCAGGATCAATTCAACTGTATTTAAATTTTTTTTAAGTATGCACGACATAAAAATTCATATAACATGTTGGATTTAAAAACAAATTAAAAATTGACATGAATATTTAAAAAATGCTCACCGCCAGTATCTCTGCCCACCACTTCTCAGAAGCATTAATCATTTGTTTTACCGGATCCCACCCCAAACCCGTTGATCCTGGCTTCAATTCCTTCCAATTTTTCAATCATTCTTTAGTTAATCCCACTTGTTTTTTAATAGTAGTCTATCATATTCTCTGTTTGCACTTAACTTGAAATTTTTAATAATATTTTGTCAAACTTCCTTGTTCAAATAGGTTGTCGGTCTATTTCCCGGTTTGGTCTCCTTGAGGTAAAGGTCATAAAATATTATTTTTATCTCTTTATCCCATATTGCAGATGAATCAACCTCTCCTGTTTTAACTATTGTCTTACTAGCATGAAAAAAACTAATTAACATAAATAGGAATGTCACAATATCATAACTCAAAGAAAAATAAGAAATGTCACAATAATGTGAATGTCACAATATCATCACCAATGCCCCTCCACACCACACTACAACACCACCTACACATCATCACTGCCATCAACTCCACACACAAACACCTCTACACACTAACACATCAAGGCACCAACATCCACAATACCACCACCATCATCTCCACACACCAACACCTCCACATAAACATAACCACGCACTAACCACCACCTCCGCAACACCACCTCGACACATCCACCAATACATCCTCTAACAAAAATACAAGCACACATCAACCACCACCACTGCAATACCAGCACATCTACACATCCACCAACACATCCTATAGCACAAACACAACCAAACACTAACCACCACCTCCACACATCCACCAATAGATCCTCTAATACAAACACAACTATACACCAATCACTACCTCCACAACACCACCACTTTCACATATAACCCAACGTACACCACCACCAAACATCAAAGGTAAAGATAAAAACCTACCCCATATTTTTCATTTGATGCAGTTACATACAGGGCACCCAAAACATTGCTATCAACAAATCAAGCACCATCTTTCAGTCATTTGTCAAATTCTCAGTCAAACATCAAATGTAAAAATAAAGCCTCACCCATGTTTTTCATTTGAGGCTACTACATACAGGGCACCTGAAACATTGCTATAAACAAATCAAGCACCCTCTTTCAGCTATTTCTCAAATTCTCAATCATACATCAAAGTTAAAGATAAAACCCCACCCCATATTTTTCATTTGAGGATACTACATAAAGGAAAACCCGAAACATTACAATCAACAAAGCAAGCACCCTCTTTCAGTCATTTCTTAAATTCTCACTCAAAACTCTTACTCAAACATCAAAGGTAAAGATAAGACCCCATTCCATATTTTTCATTTGTGGATACTACATACAATGCACTCGAAACATTGTAACCAAAAAAATTAAGCACCCTTTTTCAACCAGTTCTCAAATTCTCACTAAAACAACAAAGATAAAGATAAAACCACATTCCATATCACATTCAACCACAAATTCTCAAAATCCAAATTCCAAATCATAAAAGAAAGTGACAAATCATAAAATCCAAATTCTCACTTCAAACCGCAGATGAGAAAGACTAGAAATAGCAAAATCCAAATTCTCACTTCACCACAAATCGCAAAGAGAAGGTTATTTCATTGAAAAAAATAGGTGCTAACACGGGAGGACGGAAAGCACAGTAAACAGAGAGAGAGTGGGAGATCTGAGGGAAGAGAGAGAGTAGAAAGGCAACCCGTTGCCACCAGAGATAGGAGAGAAGAGAGAAAGGAGAAAGTAAACCCGTAGCCATCGAAGAGAGGAGTGATCGAGAGAGGAGCGATCAAGAGAGACGAAGGCAGAAGAAACGAGAGAGGGGAGCGCGAGAGGTTAGGTCAATAATAAGTTTGAGAAAAAAAGCGGGCGGCGCCGCAGCCCGCATTTAACAAATTTTTTTAAGAAAAGCGGCTGCGCCGCTGTTTACAAAAGCTTCATATGGCGTTTCAGAATGCACCGCACCAAATAAGCTGCCCCAAACGAGCCCTTAATATATTCTCCATCCTTAATGTTGACATCAAAAGTAAAAAAGCAAAAGGAATGGTCAAATTACATAGATAAAAAATAAACAAAAATAGAATGAAATAAAAGTTTTTCTTTTCTGTTGGATGAACAATATAACTTCTGAAGGAAATATGAAGAAACAATGGAACAAGATAAAAATGATGCGCTAAGAAATGTATTGACATTGTCAATGGCAACCCAATAGTAATAAAAAACAAGACAACTTCAAACAGAAACAATTTCCATGGGTACCGAAAATACTTACTTTTGGCAAATCCAATCACCCCTTTTCATCTCAAAACTTTGCCCTGGAGGTCTTGACAGTTGCTCATTCCCCAAGGGAAGTACTGTCTCAGTTGGTTCTGCCAATTTAGATTTCCAGAGAGTTCCACTGAAATTAAACAACTCAAGCAATAGCTTCCGCACAGACGTTTCAACAACTTCATAATCTTTAAACTGGTTGTTCCCATTGGAAGGAGAGTAGAGTTTATACATATAACTCAGCAAATAGCGCATGATATCAATAGTTTGTGCCTTTTCCTGTTCCAGTTCCTGACATCATCACAAGAGCAGTTAAGTATGATGACCACGATGTAAAATTAATTCTCCAAAATTGATATAATTTTCTCTAAATAAATGTTTCATCACTCTCTCATAGTTTTATTATATGACATGATTCGATTCTTCTATAATCTTGACCATCTCCTTTGTTTTTAAATCATAGTATAAAAATACTTCTCCAATCATTCAACATCATTCTAAGCTTCAAAGCTCTGCTGAAATTATGTAACTAATATCCTTAAATATCCTCAATAGCTTTTCAAATCTTAATAAGTATCTTATATGAACATAAAGCCTTATCTTATAGCTCTTATTCAAAGCTTCACTCCGCTTACCTTTTTCATATCAATCTACTGCTTACTTCATTATAGAGTTCAACATTCTGTTTCAAAATAACTTTTTCATTAAAACGCTAATTTAATAATTTTTCAAAATAGCATTTACAACTTTCGGTAATGTCTTCTTATAATATATATTTTTCAATACACCTAACTTGCTCAATATTTTTAGAACTACTTTACTTATTCCATATAGCTCATTATCCCAATTCTTAGTATGAAGTTATTACATAAATCATTAAAAATTATTGGTTTCGCTATGCTCATTACACCCTTTATAGAATTTTTAGTTTTTTTTTATATCATTAAAATCCATAGAAGTATTCAATTTTTGCCACCACTTAAAAGCACACTTATTTTCCTTAATAACCTTTTTCACCTACTCATTACACCACAAAGTATCATTATGAGTGTACGATATATTTCCACTCCCCTAAAACTTTTACAACTGTCTTTTTAATGGAACTCGCTATCTTATCCAAAATATGGTTTTAATGAACTGTGAATTCCAATCTTCCTCCTTTAGCAACCTAAAAGGTTAATAAATTCTCATTTTTAAATTATAGAAAGTTCCACCAACATATCCTACATCAATAATTATTTTTAATCATTTTCTATCACAACTCGACCCGAGAACTTGAAATTACCGAGGCGAGAACTGACAGTTGGATGGAAAAACATATCTAGTTGTTTCATTTCTTAAAAAAAAAAAAAAAAAAAACATTTCTTAACAAAAAAAAAAAAAAAATCAATTCAGAAAAGGGTCATCCTATTTAAAAACTTATATTTAGAATTGTTGTTCATATTTAAATATTTATATTCAAACAGAAAATAAACAAAATTACAATATCTATCATTTTGCGCTCCACGGCACCTCCCTGGGGTCCATCTAATATACAACTAATTTTCCTGTAAAATAATGACAACTATGATTTGAGTTACAACTACTCAGTGAGCAAGTATTTCTAAATTACAATAATTCTTCTTTTAAAAAATTTTGTAAAAAAACAGTAAAAGTAAAAGACTCCAGCAAAAGAGATCAGTAAAGAAAATAATTTCAATCTTTTTCGTTTATTTAGGTTACACTTTTCAGAATTGGAAGTAATCGTCTAAACATATATTTTAAAAAACATATATACATTTAATCATTTACAACTCATCATAAAAACAGATAAGCATTTTTATTTTCATTCATATTTTCATTTCATGCACGAGTACATTACATTCTCCTGCCAAAACCATCCAAGGTGGCTCCCATATGCATGCATATAACATATTTTAATCATTTTTATCTTGCATTTAACATTTAAAAGAAATATATACTTTTGCATTTAAAATAAAAGCTGAAAAATAATAAATAAAGAGAACTACTGTAAAATAAAATTCATTTACCCACCTTTCTCAGATAAAGCTAATCATTTTTCTGAACCTATAAAAATATATTAGGCTTAATTAGTTTTTAATAACACATCATATATAATTAATTTAAATCAATTTTTAACCCTCTTTCTCAAGAATTCTAACTTAACTAATTAGATATTTTCATTTGCCCTTTTTATCTAATTAATTTATTATTTATTGCTAATCAATATAAGTACTTTTCTAAATTACTCTTAATCTTAACACTAACAATTTATTATTTAGTTAAATACATTCCAAGGACCTGTTTGGTGTAGCTACAGTTGTTTGAAGAAACAGTTGCAAAATTGCTAAGGAAGCTATTGTTCAAAAAGTAATAGTGGCATTAATAATTTTTTTTTAGTCAGCTCGTAACTTTCTAGCAGTCACCACAGGTAGCTAGGTCTGATGGGAAAACACAGCTTTTTGAGAATGCAGACAAAACACACTTTTATCAAACAAGAAAAACTGTGGAGCAAGACCATACCACCATCGCAAAGCCACCTCAAACGCACTGTAAGACAATTAATAAGACTTCTTCAGTCTTATTTTGTAATTTAACCAAATTAATGAAGAAAATAAAAATTATATGTAAAATTCAGAGTTTATACCTGAAATTTCTCTTCTTAACAAAGTTCTATCCTGCTTAATTGTTTTCATCAATCACCTTTAAATAATTTAAAAGAAATTTAAGTACACTTTTGATTATCTAAATCAAATTTCAATTAGCATATTTAATAACTGAGAAAAATTTAATATATCACTTTACCTTTCCAACATCTTCCTTTAAATAATCGAATAGAGTCACGCTTGGTCTAGTTCTCCTGCACGCAAAGCTCTCGCAACCTCTTCTTCCTCCCCAAATCTCTCGGTCGAGCTACCTGCATTCCTCATGAGAGGTAAGAAGCTGCTTGCACATCCTCTCAGTTGAAGAACTAGGACACCGAAAGGCGCAATTGATGTGTATGAGCGGTTTTCGACTTCGTACCCCATTCCTCCTCCACTCACAGGACCATTGGAATGTTGGCGATGCATGAGGGAAGCTCCGAGTGAGTCGTTCGAACACTCCAAGTAGACAATCGAGTTTTCCCCTTTTTCCTCCTTTCCTTTACTGCTCGCGGCACTCGACAAGGCCGATCGAGCTCTTTATCAAGCACAATGTGGAGGGAAATGACACCTCAAGCAAGGTTATCATCTTCTTCTCCTTCTTCTGCTCCTTCGTCTACTACTTCTTCCTTCTCCTTTTCTTTTGCTTCCTCTATGTCACTCTCTTGATCTCTCACGCTTCCTCTATCTCTCTCGCGTCAAAGATGAGGAATAATCCTCCTCTTAACTGCCCCTCGTTCTTAACTCCCCATGAGCGGTGGAGTTTTCGTTCAAACGATCATAAACAGTTAAAATTTTTTATTATCATTTAAATAATTATGTTAATTATTTATTTATGATTATTATTATTATTACATCATCCTTATACTCTTAAGAGATAAATCTATAAACTACCAGTCCTAAGTCATGCGGACAATCTCTCTCCAAGAACCACTTAACAATCTTTAGAAGAACATTTTTCATAACTTATAACTACGAAAAAATCTATTTGTAATAGAATTGAACACTTTTGTAAGGAAAAGGTCTTCTCAGTTCTTCAGGTATGTGTTCATAGTTAAGAAATCATAAACTCTAACAAAATCAAATGAAGTTTCCCTTATCGTATTTCTAGCTTCTATGCATAACCACCATGTTCCCATAACTTATTCACTAAAACCAATGTACACATTTAAATTACCCCCAAAAAGCATTATTTCTTCTTTGGGATAAGATTTAGTCATTATCTTTCTCTTTCCATAGTTAAGAAATCATAAACTCCAACAAAATCAAATGAAATTTCCCTTATTGTATTTCTAGCTTCTATGCATAACCACCATGCTCCCATAACTTATTCACTAAAACCAATGTACACATTTAAATCACCCCCAAAAAGCATTATTTCTTCTTTGGGATAAGATTTAGTCGTTATCTTTCTCTTTCCAAAATTATTTATGATACTGAAGTTAACCCAAACCACAACGTAAACACAAATAGTACTTCTTAATTCCAAACATATTACAAATATGATATGGGAAAGTAAAAAATAGACGAAAAACAAACATGAAAACATAAACGATAAAAAGCGTCCGTTGGGGACGACAAGTACGGAGGCTATTGAACGGCGGTTAGTGGTTGTGGAAAGAGGGATGCGGCTATAGGGAGGTGGTTGGTGGAATGGGTAGTCGCTGGAACATCAACATAGTTTGGGGCGGTAGTCAAAACAGCAACCGGTTGCACTTTGGGGCTGCTGCAAAGCAAGACAACAGCAAAGCGAAGGCGATCGGACTGCGACAGTGAAGGTGGAGGATTGGGACAATGAGGGCAGCGAGGACGAGGGAGGATAAGGCGATGGGGGGTGGCTGGAACTACAGAAAATAGTAGATCCTTGCTATTCTGGGTGGTGGAAACAAGGATAGCGATGGTAATGGCGTCGTACCACAGCTAGAGAGGTGCAAGAATGTCAACGAAGGCCGGATTGGCGGTTATTGTGAAGGCCAAAGAGGTGGGGCTGCTGTGGAAGTAGGATAGCAGCCGGGAGGATGGACAGAGAAATAAATATCTCGGTGGGGTCGAACCATAGCAGGAGCACCACCCGGACCCATGGAGACGATCACCACCACAAACAAGGGACAGTCAGAGCACTATCTTGACGCCGGGTACAACCCTCTAGAGGAAAAATGATTAAATAAAACTGAATTCAAATTTCATAAAACAACCCCTTACCCTAGACACAAGAACTTCTATTTATAAAAGACATGAATCAACTTAAGGAAACATTATAATAGGAAAGGAATAATACCAGATTTTAGAATTTCGACACGACTTTAAAATAGGGAAGGAAATAACATCAGATACAAGATTTAATGCAAGGGTTTTAAAAATAGAAAGAGAATGCAATCAGATTTCGGTTTTTAGGAAAGGTTATAGAATTAGGAAAGGTTTAGGGAGACAAGGAAAGAGAGAAAAATGAAAGACAAGGAGGGGAAGAAAAGGAAATGAAATGAAGTAGGAGGGGGCGGTGGGGCCCTACTGCAAGGGGACTGGCCGGTCCAGCTAGGCTGAACCTGCACCCGATCGCCCCCCCATGAACCGCATCATTCTCCCGGGGTTGAGGAGCTTCGACCTCAACTGTCGAAGCTTCTAGCACCTCGTGGCACGCCATCGAGTCCT